AGAAATGCTCTTTTCACCTAGACTTACTGCCTCCAACAGTAAGATATACACAAATCCAGACCCTCTGGACATGGAAAAAAAAAAAAATCTACAGGGCATATTTTACATATCACCCTAATTTGACGGTCTGTGATTTCTCAAGAAAACAGAAATGTGAGAAACATGTTGACAGTTCAGTCTAATTCCAGAATTCTTTTGACTATGTTGTAGTTGCTCCTTGTGAGCACTGCACATAAAAATAACTTCCCTCGACCTACAGAAAAACTTTTTTTTTTTTTTTCTGTGAGATGAAACCCCTCTGCATCACCAAGCGACATGGAGCTAAAATTTACTTTATATACTGCTCTCCATGACAGGATATTTGTGAACATGTGTTCAAGAGACAGATGTGGGTTTAATAAAGCCAGTATGACTTGAGGATCATTTGAAAAGCTCTCTCCTACGATAACAACGAAGTACAATTATTAATGCACAAATAATGTAGCCTGCCGTGTGATAGCTACAATACAACAAGGTCATCCTATGGACTATACCAGCTACTCTAAGCACAATGGCAGCATCTCTGTAACATATGTGATCCTCTGTCCTAACCCAGGATCATATGGCAACTTTTGTCCCTCAGGGTCCAGATCAGAATAACTCTGAAAACTCAGAAATAATGAATGAAAAAATTAGAGAGTCTTTTCCAGCATCATCAGGCAGAAGAAAATGCACGCAAGCTATTAAAGATATATAACCATCGGGGGAAAAGGCAACAAGACTGGATTTTACAAACTCCTTTGCAGATAGAACTTGGTTATTATTGTCATTTTAAATTTCCTGAACATCAAGAAACATTTTTTACTTTCAAACTTCACAAAACTTAGCTGACAAGACACCTCGCCCAATATCATTTCTTTGTTTATAATCACTAATTGTCTTTCTTGATGGATAAATTTTATAAATCCTAAATTTTAGATGCTAATTAGCTATGCCCTGCTTACTTCACAACAACAAACTCTTCAGCAACAAACTCTAGGACAGGCTGTTCCAGCTTCTTGTCAAGAGCAGATGAGGTTCTGCTATTGGTACTTATGTGGGGGCCAGATGGCAAAACCACCTTGTAGTGTTATGGTAAGGTGAAAGATAACACCAAGGAAGGGTAGAACTGATCTGTAAGCAACCCATAGAGAGCTCTAACAGTTTAAGAACAGAGATAAAAGTCTGGAAAACAGAAGTCTTCTGGTTTCTATTCTCAGATCAGTAAATGACATGCCATGCGGAAAAAAAAAAATGAGGACAATGTTGTTGGTTACTTCTTGCCTCAGATTCTCTGCCTACAAAAACGGCTGCCTACACATACACAGCTACATGAGCAGGGGCTGAGGGATTTCCAAAATTTCATCCAAAATTCCACATTTTTGGAATTTCTCACATTTCTGCAAAACATAATGCAGTTGTAAGGAGCCTGGCCATATCCCCGCCTCCATGTTTGCTAATATATTTCACAGGGACCTTGTGAGAATTCACTAGCTGGGACGGAAGTTCACACAAAAAGGTATTCAGCATGGCTCACAGCCCATCATTTTCTACTCTTATAATCATGGGTAACAGAGCTGGATCTTACAGTCACTTCTTTACTTGATACAAATGTATAGAGAGCTTAGCATGAGCTAAGAAGATGATGCAAGGGACTCTGAAAGACATGCTGCAGATGCATCTTCTTTTACCTCCTGCCATATTCTGTCTCTGAAGAAACTTAAGAGACTGCCTTGGAAACAATCTCTTCACCTCCCTCCTATTTGTATGTTTATTAAACACACATTTATCTTTTTCCGAGAGGACAATAGCAACGCTTGACTTTTTATCCAGAGTCCCATGTCCAGACGCCACGTTACACCCAGTCATTTAAGAAAGGTGTCTTTTTTTCCTTCCAGTTGCCAGACAGTTTATGTTCTGCAATGACTGGTAACAATTTAAGACAATTTTCCTCTGATTTTTCTCTTTCCACTCTCTGCACTGCCCAGCTCTACTAGGTTTCACCCACCTCACTTAAGTTTGGGAGTGCTGCCTGACACATTACTAGATACAGCTCAAAACCAGCCCATACAATAACATGGCTATGGATCTCCATCACCTTTTTGCCCATGCTGCTTGCCCAGACAGATCTGTTTCAGATGAAATACTAATGCATTTTTTGCCAAAAAGATATCCCCTTGGTTTTTTCCAATTTAGCAAAAAGACATAGCAAATAATATTGATCATTTTGGTCTTCCTGGAATTTTCTCACACCCTTTCTAGGAATAAGAAAGGACATCTTTTTGCAATCCCATTATTACATATGTGCATGGTTATAAGAAAATGCTCTGAAGGGACATCAAGCAAATAATACCAATTTTCAAAATTCTATAGCAATGTATTTATACAAATTACAGAATTCTGTATGTATTTACACACCATTACAGAATATCAAGTAAATAACACCACTGTTGTTTTTCCCTCAGATTTTCAAGTGAATTTTACTGCTCAAGAAAGGTGCCAGGTGGACAGCACTAGAAAATGAAGATTCCTGTTTGTCCACAGCGCAGAGGAGCGGCACTGCAAGCCTCCCCGCTCTGCCATGTCAGCTCTCTCCAGCCCTGTTTTAGCAGGATCATGTAAGGAGCGGGAAGGCATCTGTATCCCTTCACGCTTTGGCAAAGGAGCCAAGCAGCACCCAGGTGACGATGGTTTTGCCCATCCCTCACCAGAAAACAAACAGAAATAACTCATTTTACACAAGTGACTGAACAGAATCAGTTGTTCGTTACCCGAAACAGGCCAAATTTGACCCAGTGAACCTGCAGGGAGTGGCAAATTGCCAGCTCCTGGACCATCCAGTCTCGCAATAATGCCTATGTTAAATTACATGTTTCTATATTTACATAAAGTCAATATTTACACACCATTATGGGTTATTCGAGTAAATTGGTTACAGTTTATTTATATGGACTGCCATAAACTCATAACATTTTTGTTGGGTTTAATTCTTTCTTTAGAAAAATACAAAAAAAATAAATTAAATAAAACATGTTAACTAGTAGTAATGATTTGCCTATAACTAAAAATCCAAGTCAATTTAACATTAAGACTCAAACCATGATGGCCTAGTATCATGGCCTCAACCCAAACAGTATTTTTAACCTTTGCGATTAATTTCCTGGTGTATGTCAGATTTACTGAAGAAGCAGAGAGTAGTAACCTCCCTTCTTTGCGGTAAGATTGATCTGTTTAACACTGAGTGATGAACCCTAGTCCTCCCCAGAAGCTCACTTTATTCTCCTATGGTCCAGCATGGCTTTGCACCACCCGGACAAACGATTCAGCACCTGGTTGACCCGCAGCAGCCAAACTGCCTGCAGGTCTCAGCAGCTCCAAAGGGTTAAAAACAAACTCGTGGGCTGCAGTCAAAGGCTGCAAGTTCCCAGGCAATAACAGTCCCTAGACAAGTATGTTCTAACTGTATTCTACAAATCAACTAACATAATTTACGTATTTTTATCGTTCATAAACAATTATAATGCCACATTTTATTTAAGATTACTGATACTACCAGTTGAGATGTGGCCTCTGCTACCTACTCGAGTACAGAAAGGTCACATTCATTCAGGACACCAAGCCAGAGGTTATTCCAGACAGAATTACATTTCAAATAATATGTATCACATGGACAAGAGCGCCTTAGAGCAAAAATGACTTAATTATGGTTAAGCTACAAACTTATGTATAGCTCCTCAAAGTACATCTGCGCTCAGCCTCCGTCGTGCCTCTGCGGACAGCCAGGGGTGTCAGGACCAGCCACGCTCCCAGCAGATCCAATGGCAAAGGTTACACTCAACTTCATGGCACCGGATTCAAATCCTAACGGATACAACTACAAAATTCATCTGCCATATGGACCTTTCATGATTTTTCTCTCTTTTTTTTTTTTTTTCCCTTCAGGGTACTAGGGAAAAAATGCTTCTTCCTAAGGGTTAATTCCCAAATGGTAAATGCTAATCAACATGTTTTATGTGCTTAACTTAAGATGCTGCAATCCCTTAAATTTTACATACTGTCAGCTCACTTACAGTTCATGACTATTTGAACATACTTTGGGAAAAAAAAAAAGTCTAATACTGTCCCCCTCATTGTCATTATTGATAGAGATTTATTAGTTTCATTTTGCAAGTTTTACTTTAGGAAGGGTGCTAATATCAGGTATTATGACAGTTCACACTGAAAGCAATTTTCCATAAAAGATGTTACAATGACCCCTATGGAACTTGTATAATTTCATACTAGATAGTCAAGTGCACAAATAAACATGTTTACAAGAGTGATCCTGTTAACCTGGTTCTTGCCCTCTGAAACCATTATGTGCTATTTGTGGAATCTTAAAATTAGTACAATTGTTGATATTACTTGCTTCTGGCATTCTGCTTTAGGGAAAAAAAAAAAAAAACACCATAGTTATCATTTAGCTTTGGTATAATCTGCAATAGGTTTTAACAAGTAGAATATATTCCAACCCCTACATTTTCCACAGCTGTGAAGTTTACAGTGATGTAAGAAGTCACTTTATCCGAGAGGAAATACTACAGACACATTAAAAAAGTTGAAGACCCATTTTTCTCTTTAATCCTCTGGGGGTAAGCTATGAAACAAGCAGTCAGAAGAGTGAGGACTCAGTGTCATGAGTGGTGTGCATACTTGTACAATAATACGGGCACAAAAGAGATTGTCGCCTTTAGTACATGAGGGTCACTAGAATTTATTATTATTATTACCTTTTTATTGTTTGTTGGTTTTTATTTTTTTTATCCATGCACCTTTATATTTACTTGCATGAATTTACCACAGGTTCATAGTGGCCTTTGCCATTTTAATGCTTACAGAGCCTAAAGCTTCCAAAATGCCTATCTGGCCTGTACATATTTCATTAAAAATAAACTCTATATAATAAATAAATATATAAAATAAATAAAATGTTGCCTTTGGAATTTCTATAAATAAATTTAACTTTTTATTTTTTTACTAAGAGGTCTTTGCTTTAAACTCAGTGGGGTGAGACCCAGAGAGCGATTAACTGAAAAGTCTCTTGTTTAAGACTGCACCCTCCATGCCTTTGTAAATGCAGCGTACACTTGAGCAGGCCACCAGCCAAAAATCCTGATGAATCAAAGTATGGCAGGGATGCTGATATATGACGAAGTACAACTGATCAAAAATTTAAAAGCGTGTCTATTCCCCAGCATGCATCAGGCCTTCCTCCTCCTCCTCCTCCTCCTCCCCTTGGCTCCTCTCTCTCGCGCTCTCACTCCCATTCATCCTCTCGCTTTCTCTCTTTCTCTCTCTCGCACTCACTCTCTCGCGCTCCCTCTCGTACTAAATCAAGCGAGTGGGCATAGGCTCTCCTCCAGGAGGACAAACCTTTAAGTGCAGAACAAAATCAGCATGTTCCATCCAAGCCTCCATCATACATTATGCATGCGACAAAGTTTGGCAACAGTGGAGCTGATGTGATGACACAGCTAATCAATAAGAACCCACCGCATGAAACCTTTATAGTGGTTACTTTTTAAGGGCTCAAGTGAAGGAATTGTCTTTGTCAACTTTGGCTTAAAATATCCTTATATAGTTCTGGTACTTTCTCAGGGTCCACTGGTCTAGGTAAAAAATGTGTAAATTTTTGATGCCGTTTAGTCCTAGTCCCTTCTCTCGGAGTCCCATCTTTATTTAACGCAACGTAGTATCGTCTTCCAGTGTCCACGTGTTTATATAGATTTGATGAATATGTGTTATACCAGTTTTCTTCAAACTGCTCTCTGAATACACACTCCTGGGTTAATTTTTCCTACAGAAAGAAAAGAAAAAGTAGTAAGGAGATAGCCACAAAAATAAGCTATTTTTAAAAGAATTACTATTTTCACAGCTTGAAATCAGTACCACCTTGCTCAATTTGCAAAATGAACCATTTCAATATTCCCAATTTTAGCTAAGTAAGAAAGCTGTATCGCTGAGTATTCCATTAAGTAGTCAAAAGGGTAGATAAAGCAAAAATGGTTCTCCAAAAGCCTCATTGCCCAAATCAAAACAGCAATAACAAAACTAAAACAAGATATTTTAATTTCTGATCATTCCCAAGCAGCTCACAAGACTTTACTGGACTTGTATAACTAATCACTTCAATTGTGAGTGCAAGCATTTGAACAAACAGATGTAAAGAAAACTAGAACTGGTTTGCAAGGCTGTTAATAGAATTTAGGGCCTTAAAAATCTCTATGTCCTTTCACTGCATGGAGAACAATATGCATTTTATTAATTTTAAAAGATACTATTTCCTGTTACTACCTTTTGCTACCCTTCGTTTGGTTTATTATTTGTACCACAGAACCACAACCCAACAGAGCTTCAAACAGCAGCACAAACCCCACATGCTGAGATGAAGTTAGGTGAGGAAACTCCTCCAGGCTTGCTTTACTAGGGTTGTCCTCATGTCCTGTCCTACTGACAGGACCCACTGAAGACATCAACCATTCATCAGACCCTCTGCCACAGATTCCCAGTCCTTCCAGTTCGCCCACTTATTCAGTCTGTGTATACCCCTCTACATCCTTTTGGTCTAAATAGATGGGGTTTGCCTAAAAAGCAGTCACCTGATAACCAGATTCATTTTAGGAAGGACTCACACAAGTGAGCAAGAAGACTGGTAAAAAGGCAGAGAGATCTAGCATGGGAGAGCTGATGGAAAGCTGGGAAATATAAGCCTGGAAATAGTCCTTGCAGCTGGCACAAAAAATATAATAATGATAATTTAATACATTTTTTCATAACAAAAGTTCTCACTTGAATAGCACTCACATTGACCAAACTCAGCTTCCAGCTGAGGATCAATTTCTATTTATTACAAAGCTCCACACAACACAGATTTCTGTGCATGTGTTCTACAGACTTTAAATCTTAAAATTGTTCTTTTAGATAGATACACAGAGAAGGGAAATTGGAGACCAAGGCCCAGATGCAGCAAAGCATTTATGGCACCTAAGCTGTAAATGTGTGCCTGAACACAACTAAGGAGCCACAGCGCAAGCTCCAGTGCCCCCAAGAAGCCACCATCCATGGCTTAACCCAGGAGCTTCCCAAAACCCACAATCACCAAAGCTTGCAGCTTGCCCTGGGGCTGCAGGGACCTTTGGGGCCACCTCTGCTGCTCAAGACTCAGCTCACAACCCTTTCCCAAAGCAACATGCTTCAACTCAGACGTTTTGCTACTGTTTTGCTTGGTTGCTCCCAGGATAGAGCTCTACAGCCCACTAGGGTTGGGGCCTGGGGTCTCAGCCAGGTCCAAGGAGCCCTATGCACCTTACAGGAGTCACCCAGGAACCATCCCATGTGGGGAGAGCAAGCCAGCAGCCCTCTACAAACTACCTACAAACTGGGTACTGGGCTGCAAAGCCAGGGTCCTCCTCAGTACCTAAAGGTTTGGGATTTGGAGGTTTCCTCTAAATTCGACCTGTGGCAACTCCGGCAGGCAAGAAAGGAAGCAATTAAGCAGTCCCTGACTTCCCCTTTGATGGGCATTGGGAACCTCATCACCCCTCAGGAAGGAGAAATCCCCAACAGGACCAGTTTTCGGATGTTAAACACTTGAGTATTCAACATGGCAGCGGCCATGTTCCCATGTGGACCCAGGTAGCTGTGGCCAGTGGCACAGGATGAGGAGCAGCCTGTGGTGGAGAAGAAGGCAGCAGTCCCATCCCTCACACCCTCTTCCGCAGTTTGACCAGGAGACTTCCCTCCCTGCGGGTCCAGCTGAGCAGCGTGTGCGGAAGCATGAGCATGTGTGCCGGCCAGCTGTACAGAACAATTTATTTCAGAGGCATTTCTGACTGTAACATTTAGTGTGTGAAGCAGCTCAAACACAGCAAGACTCCATGGTGGTTATAGGGAAAAGAAGCACAAATCTGTTTATATTAAATCCTTATCTCTGGGCCAGATCGTGCAACCTCCTATTGGTACGTGCCTCTGTCCTTTGACAGCTCTAAATTGCAGCAGCAATGAATATTACTGGACCTCAGCAGGAGTTGAACGTTACATGTTGCAGTAGCCCCCCTGTACAGCCTCAGTATACAAATTAGTATAAACACTGTTCAGCTGCTATAAAGATTGTCTTTAAGTACAGTTTTCATGAGAGTTTTATTTTGCATGAGGTTTAAAATCATTTTGTTGGCTTTAAGGCAGAAGCAGATGCTAAGGGGTGTTATATGTTAGGACTATAGGTCCACGGGGAAAGAGAAACTAATTCAAATTGTTTTCCTGCTCTCAAAAGGCAATTGGATCACATGACAAGCACTGCAGAAGCACTCCCTGCTAAAAATAGCAACATTTTAGGAAGATATTTCAGTCCTGTCTTGAATTCATTAATTATTCACTTCATGTGCCTTTTTTTTTTTTTTTTTTTAGTATCATCATAAATTTCTATCTTTGCAAGAACAGTACTTCCCCATGCCCTGAAGGAGAAATTTTAAAATAGCCTCTCTTTATCTGGCAGGTTTGATGGATCATGACAGTGCTGTGGTACACTTAACTAGCAGACCTTGAATAAGGAGGTTTGCATTGTACTGCACTCTGGATGAGTTCAATGGATTTCAAGCTGACAAATTCAATCTTTATTTTACAAGCTTATCCTGTTTTTACTTTTCAGCTTCTTACAATACAGCTACATCTCTTTTGTCCTTCATAAAAATTCTCAGAAATTCATGTATAGACAGTAGGCAAATACTTCAATGTGAACTGACAGAGCAATCGGGATGCAGGTTCAGATATGTAGGGACACTAACAATCACACTTTCAGAATAGTGAAATAATTTCTTTATAAATTCATCAGATTGTTTCCTTCTAGGACACCTAGAAATTCTGGTTGTAGTCAGAGACCACTGGAGTAAAGCATTATCAGTGACTTTGGATCAGGCCCTGTAAAGAATATGGGGACCAAAATCCCAGCATATCCTTCTTTCCATACCTTGGGAGCTCCTTACAATAATGGCTCATCTTGCACCACAACAGAGAGAAACCAATATCCACTGGGATACTCATCTATGTAGACTCATAGAACCATTTAGGTTGGAAAAGACCTTTAGGATCATTGAGTCCAACCGATAATCTAACACTGCCAAGTCCACCACTAAGCTATGTACTACCACAACACTAGCTTACACCCATGTTTTGAGCGCACATGCCTTTATTCAAGCCAGAAATGAGTGTAATATAGGGGTGAGGCTCGTCCACCCTGCCAACAAGCACCTTCTTGCCTCACCAGCTTAGGATGGGAAAGTCTTGCTGAAAGCCAACTCTGCAGTGTGGGAAGGAGATGGTGTTTCCTGATCACAGGTGGTTTGTATATTCCCTCCCAGCTATGACTTTTAGAAAAAAGTATGCACAGTAAAAAAACCAAGATTTAGCCCTAGAATACAGCAAATTTTGTATACTTTTATTCTCACAACTGACTCCTCTATCATTTTTCCAGTGCCAGTATTTCCTTGCACCATACTTAATGTCATTAGACAACTCTGTCGAAGGCTGACACAAATTCCAAACATACCCAAGTAGAACAGCTATGGAAAGTAACCTGCATTCCTGTGAAAGGGGAGGCTGCCTGCCTTGATCAAATCATTTAATTCAGGGGCCAAATAAGGAGGTGACCTCAAAATTATATAAATCAAATGTTGCTCCACATATCACATGTTTTCTATAAGGACTGTTCATAGAGTATTCCACTACAAAGTGACTGATTCTCATTTTACTACATTCCCATGATTTACTTTTATTTTTTTTAACCTGTTATTGAACATAGAATGTTCAAATAATTGTTCAAATATTGAACATAGAATATATAATGTTCAATAATGTTCAAATATTGAACAATTGAACAATATTGAACAAATTGAACAAATTGAACAATATTGAACAAATATTGAACAATAATGTTCAAATATTGAACATAGAATGTCCAAAAACTGTACAAAGAAGTACATATCACCAGGGTGGAAACCCAACGCAGATTTAGTTCAGATGTCTGCTAATGCCAGTTCAGTGTTAGCAAGCCCAGAATCCCTTTCCCTTCCTACATTCTCCTCCATCGTCTAAGCAGGGAGAAAAAAATACGTTATCCATATTTCCAGGTAGATCAATTAAAAGTGAGATTGTAAATTAATAAAGTAGGTAGTTACAGCCATCACAACAAAAGATTTACCAGCTTGTTTAAAAATATATGTCCCTGTGAAGCAGCTAATTGGAAATAAGTGGAAATAGGCAAAAACACATGTACACTACTCAGAGAATGGTTTCATGACTCTAAAGAACGATAAGACATCTGTGCTGCTTAGTAGCTCAAAGCACAATACAGGGTCCTGTATAAAACACATCAATATTCTTTTTTTTCTTTTAAATAACCTTACAGAGTTAAAACTCAAACTTATTTTGTAACCTGACAGAAGGAAACCTCTCAGACCATCATTCCTAAAATCACAACAAATATACTTCATGTCTAGCAAACTATTTTGTTCTATGCTGTGTATAGTTCTCCTTTTTGCAAACTGCTACACTAATTCAATAGAGACATTTCACGAGAAAACACCTAACCCAGAAGTCCAAACACCTATTAACAAGAAGTATATCTGATGTAGTCAGCACTTCCTACATACCTGCTGCACACTATTACTGTGTTAATCCACCTTAATAAAATCACGTTTAAATACATAGTCTGATAAATAAGTTAATACAAATCCCTCACTCTGGGGGGATGATGTTAATAAAAAATGTGTATGTAATGAAGAGAAAAACCAAAAAAACCCT